AACCAAGAACTGGAAAATCAGTTATAGTTGTCGTGATCAACAATGTCACTTACGTTGATGAGTCCCAGCCGCTGCTCCAACAGAGCGCTAGTCATTTGTTTTTCATAAAGGTTTATTAATATTGAACATATTGTTTCACCAAGTTCTGAACTGCTCATCATTGGGCAATAATTATAAACATGCCATTTGTGAGGCAGATAAGATGAACGGTTCCAAGATATGTGAGTCAGGCAGATTTTGGAAGCAGAAGATAGATGAGAAAGGTAGCTGGTTTTGTTATTGGATGTAAAGAAAAATCAGATCAAACAGATCTGCACAAAAGTATACACTCAAAGTAACATTGTAGATTTGTTTTTACGAACTACAACACAAAGTTTGTTCAGCGATCAGAGATCATTTTCCAGTATCTGTCAGACAAAGGTCTTGTTTGTGAGCTCCACATCCTCCATTCTGTTTTTCCTGCTCTCTTCCTTATATCGACCATGGCTCACAGCAGCAAACAGAGTTGTATGCAAATACTAAAAGCCATAATGCGTTATATTGTTTGGTGTTCACATTTTAATATTTAAATGGTGTGTTTTAGATCTAGATGTCCCCATGTCAATTTCCATACACTGTACAAGTTGAATGCAGACTGCTGAGTTTTCCCCTATAGCAGCGGGTTAAAGACTTGGGACAAAGTATTTGTTTGACACACCATAATTTTCATACTGCGTTTTTTTGCTGCACATATACTTGTTAACAAACTAAGTTACTGACCCTAATATATGACTACTGTGCGTGGCCTGTGTCAGAACCACAGAGCTGGATATGTGAATCACCCACGTCCGTGCCACTTAACCAAATTGGCAAAGCTGATAAGCCGTATTTACATAGCAGCGTTGCCGGGCGTGATATCTATCAGAACAAAAAAAAACGTCCCCCACGCTTTAATGGGAAGTTGGGATATAACTTAGTGTGGGTTACAGCTGCCCTCAGGAAAATAGCTCAATTACACCCGTAATACAAACACTCATGTGGCTGTCAGAGCGGTAAACAGATGTGGGGTGACAGTCTATAGTACGTGATCTGTCAAGCAGCTGTTGCGGCACCTTCATTTATTCACTTGTTCTGATGATGGATTCCAACCACCACCACCTTACTCCCCTACCACCCCCCCCCCACAGCATAACATGCAGGTACACTATTTGCTTACAGGGCAGTAGCAATAGGCAGATTAAGCTACCGACAATATCAATAACTGTATTAACACCTGCTGCTGCTCTAACTCTCAAACACAACGATCAGTTTGCATGAAGTGGACATCATGGATAAACTCAGAGGGACTTTAATCTCTGTCTCTGTGTGCATGCTTGAGTACATTGTGTTACCAACTTCTTTTCACACTGAAAAAAAGAGTATTCAGAATGATGTCAAATGATGTTATTTTGTCTTTACAAACTCTGCAATTGTACTCGCGCAGCATATTGAAAAGGACATCCCCTTTGGCTGTTGTCTCTTTGGGAGCCTACCTGTCACCCAGCTGATATGACACTCTTTGAATGCAACATGCACGTGTGATCAGAGCTGTAGCGAGCGCCCCACATGACAAAGTGACTGCGAGTGTCAAAGCAGCCTACAAACAGGCCTGTCCTCTCGCAGACAGGGAGCTGGGAGCAGCAGAGGCGCTGCCTTGTCTCATCTGCCAGCAGCACTCGCTGCCTCCCCGCCTCATCACAGCAACCACGTCTGATGGTGTGCACAACTCCGAGCCGGACGGCTGTTTTGATTTCAGCCTGTGTGACACATCTGTTGCGTGTCATGTTGTGTTGTGCCTATCTGCGAGCTGAGCGCGACCGGGGCAAGTGTGCTCCTCATCTCTCTGTGCATGTTTACAGGGCTTGCACTTACAAACAGGCCCGGCATGGTACACATCGTGTGGAAGGTCAGGAGGCCTTGCGTGCACCTGTGCAGCTGCTGTCACAAGCCATCAATCCTCATTGCCTGCTGGGATGTGTAGGCTCTGGACTGTGAGTGCTCTATTTGAAAGATACATTATCTGCTAATAAACCCAGTATGAAATCTTAAGTAAAAGTCAGGAGTAATTGCAGTGTTGATTGTGTATAATATTAAAAAGAAAAAGGTATGGATCTCGGTCACTTTATCATCCTCGAAGAATTCCCCATCGCTGTACACTGCCTCCTGAAAATCAATTATTTTCCTCCCATGGCTAATTGAGATAATTTGCTACAGTTGTAAATCAAATTTCCATCATGGCTGCATTCTTACAACGTGCTCTTTATGGGCTTTTAAAAGTACTTTGCGAGAGCATCTCACAAAACTCCCAAAATCAAAGATATTCTTCTATATGCAAGACTCCCACTGTCAGCTTAATCACATGAGCGATGACCATGGCTAATTGGATCTATCTAATCCACCCGTCTATGAAGTACACATGCTATATCAGCGAAAATCAAACGACATTGTTTCACTCACTGGCAAGCCCAGCACTAAAGAGCCAGAAAGGTATTTATTAATGGGGTGTTACAGTAGCCTAGAAGCCGTGTGCTTCATTACTATGTCCTTGTATTTTCAATCAATATTCAGAAGTGCCTTGTAATTACACGTTTAAGATACATTTACATTCAAAGTGTGGCCATAAATTGCAATGAAAAAGTTCCATCTGAGATTTTTTTTCTTATTCATTGTAGTTTTTACATATTCTGTTGTTGTTTTTTGTATTTCATTTAAAACTGCATCAAACCTCAGGAGTTGCAGATTACACTGGTGTGATCAGATCCCCGTTGGTTCAAGACGTCACAGCATAAACACAGAGCCACATGGATCGAAAGTGCAAACTTGAAACTCTAGTTTCTAATTGTTGGTGAAAGGTCATGTAAAAACCACTCTAGATGTAAAAATCATATTTACATGCGAGTAAAAGCTTGCAAGATAGGATGGCACAGGCATATCTTCACTGCATCGCTCTAAAGAAAATAAATATGTTTAACCACACCTTTTTTTCTTATTTACTCTTTAAAATAGGTCTATAATGCTTGATGTTGTATGAGTTTCAAAATCATATCTTCACATTCACAACCTGAAATTTGAAAATGTTTTGTTTAGCATGCTTTTCTTTATAGTAAAAAAAACATGGATTTTTTAATATATATATATATGTTGATATATGAAGTCAAAGTGAAAAAATATTGTCTGGTCATATAGACAATGCAGTGCTAAAAAAAGATATTAAACAATTTTATGTTCAGCAGTTTTCAGGTGGTAATGTAAAAGCAAATTCAAAAGCATAAAAAAAAACTGCCAAAACTGCCAAGGACACCTAAGGGTTAATATATTTAACATAAAAGTAGAAAAATAACGCCCCCAAAAAAGGTTTGTCTTCATTGTGTGTTGAGAATCAAACACCAGCCCTTTATGGAAATACAGTTCATTTTTAAGGGGGTGGGGGAAAAACTGAGATGGCTGATTTACATTGTCAAATGACAAAACACTCACGCTAACCATGCAAAAACACCAAAGGTGGAAATGATGTGTGTATCGTGCCTCACGACCAAGTCAGTGCAACAATACTGCGTTAATGGAGAACCAAAAATCTGATTGGATGCTATGCAACATGATCGAATACCGTGACCGCTCGTCAGACCACAAGACAACACGTAGGAGCGCTGGCACGGCGGGGAGGCACGACTCCACTACGTGGCTCTAATATATTCAAAGAAGGATCATTTACTTAAGGCTTGGATCCAAGGATCAGCCTGGCCTTCATTAGCCTCAATCTGACACGGATGTGAACAACATGTTGGCTTGCCACATGAACACTGCCCCTCCTCCCTCCAAACCCCAAACACTCGACTCCCCTGCCTTCTCTGAGACCTGCACAACAAATTCCTCTGGAAATGTATCACAGGTTGTTAGCGTTCCAGAGAGAATTTTACACGGGTGTACACTCCGGCCTTAATTAGAGACACTATTTGATCATTCAGCAGCTGGGCTTTATTAAATGCGGGTTCATATCAACCTACAGTCACCCCTGGTTCAGTGTGAAAGGGTCTATGAAACAAGAATATGAATATTCATAATTTGATACGTAGGGTCCCTGTATCTATGCTCCAGCTAAGAGGGGAGGTTTTTTTCCACTTATTTTGTTGTTTTGTTTCATTTTTTTAAAACTCAGTATTTTAAAATATATGTAATACTGTGGTTTCTGATCAGAGCTTTGATCAGGGTCTAAAGTATTCTATCAAAGCTATTTCTACACTGACTATAAAAAAACATACCTGATGTTTTTCATCAGAAACATCCATTTAACATATTTTCAAATAATAAATAACGGCACCCTCAGCTGAAACACAACATTATTAAGCTTTGCAGAGATACACTGAAAGCCTCAATTGAAATGCAATACCAGAGCAACATCAACATGAAAAGAACTGAAGAGATGTTAACTACGTCTGACCAAGGTCAACGGGGACTATAAAACAAACAGCAGGTTTAAGGTGAAGTCTTCCCTGTGTGAAGGTTAGCCATGTTTTGTGTTTACACTACACTGCAGGCTTTGAAATTGTTTTGCAGTGTGGAGTCTGTCCGCAGTCATTGTTTGTTTTTGACATGTTTATACACCACACAAGGAGTAATGACTTCTAGGATAGTCAGGGGGTGCTGACATGGTCGGGAGCACTATCTACAAGTTCTCTTTGCTTTTCAGGTTCACTCTCGACGGTCAACAGGCGAGAGGAGTCACACTGTCGGGGCGGTGTTGCTGACGCCGGGTTCAGCATCAAGTCAGAGCGAAGTAAATAAGCAACAACATTGAAAGGAGAAAGTCTGACACTTTGTAAAACCTTTCTCATCGTCTTTTGGCATTCAACAGCCTTCTTTGAAAAGACATTAAAAAGTGTCCAAAAGTTAAGAGAATAATGATAAGTTTGATGTTAAGCTAAAACAAGAGTGGCGCATCCGTGTTGCCGCTGTTAAAACTGACATGCATGAGAACTACTTACTTTGATCTGTGGCTCCACAGGATGTCACCACTGGAGTCTCCTGGCTGGAGCGGCAGGCTGAAGACACAAGGGGAGGAGAGAAGAAGAGGAGGAGGAGGAGAGGTGGTAGAAAGGAAAGTAAGGGGGCGGGGGTGATAGAAAGGAAGAACAATTTAAAAAAAAACATAAACAGTGGAAATTATTTGAAACTTGAAGGTGACACACATTCACCATTTTCCACATTCACACTCTGTCACCTCAGATTGTGTTTGTGTATTGGTTTTTAATAGTGAAAGGACACAAAACAGCTCCTCCTCCTCCTCCTCCTCCTCCTCCTCCTCCCAACACACCACCACTTTAAATATCGGAGGATACATATTTAGAACCTCTAACAGAACTCCCTCGATTAGACAAATTATGACACATTCCAAAAAAAGACTGTAACTGAGAACAAATTAATTTGAACATTGCTTTAATTGCATTTAAACACTGCTCCTCCCTAACCTTAGATCAAGCACTTTTTAATTACTGGCTTCTGAAGACTGAATCCCCACAGTGTTGATGGAAAAATAAAAATAGGGTAAGCGTAACAGCACACTCACTCATATGTTTTGTTTTTTAAGTATGAATTAAGCTGCACCAGAAATGGCTTGTTCAGGGTATTAAAACTGCCCGTTGCAGTTCACCATTAGCGCTCGCAGCTGAGCTCTGTCGTTCAGTCCCACTGCCCCATGGCCTCTTTACCTAAACTCCTTCCCTCCATTTGCACACACAGAGGGAAGAGACGGTAAAATGTGTTTCCTGACAGGGAGGAGAGGTGGAAAAAGCCCATCCTGCCCCAAGAATCACCGCCGCCCCACCAGAGCCGCCGCCACTGGCCTTTCTGCAGAGGCAGCAAAAGTTCCCCGAGAGGGGAGCCTCTGCCAACTCAAACAGGGCTCATTCTCCTCTCTGTGGGCCGCCGGCCGCCCATGTGGGCCTGCGCTGGGCTTCCTGAGGGCTCGCTGCAGCTGGAGCACTTTGAATAAAGGTAACAGCAATGTCACCGCTACTGTAAACTTGCTAGGCTGCTCCTGTCAGCAGGACATTCCCAATCAAAGCAGAAACAACCCCACCTAAAACACAGCGCATTGTTTTTTCCACTGGTCCCAAAGTCCAAACTTCCCACGAATCACAAAGACAGCGCACAGGCGAGAGGGCAACCGCTGTTCCCTGATCTTGCCAAACAAAATGGCAGGAGACCGGGAGTGACATTCAGCACTGAGGTTTAAAAATACGAGCAATTTGAAAATGATTAGAGTCTTATTTTATTGTTGAGCGCCTGACACAAGAGAGGAAACCAGAACAATCAACCCAACTGACTTTTTTTTTCAGCTGAATTTAGAAACACTAATTAGTTTTACTCTCGTAAAGCCAACCTGAAAACGACCAATTATAAAGTGAAAATGAGACGTGCAGTGGAAACAAGAGCTTGTCATTTACAGTCTTTACGTCCCATATGCACAACTTTACTGTGATGACTTTCACACTCAGCAGAGATGATTGGCATGCCGCCTACTAAACTTGATGTCACGTTTAAATTCTGACCAGTTAATGGCACTTTATATCAAATAGCCCCTTTGCTTGGTTAAAAGAAAACGATTACAGATCTGTCCGACCACATCAAACCCAGGCTGAGCAGCTTGGGCATGCAGATGTCTGAAGCACCAGACTGGGGAGAGGATTCAGCCCACCAGGATGACCACAGCACCAGCTGCCTACCAGGGCCAAACTGTTCCCCCCCTCAGAGGTGCCTGGTTTCTATGAATTTCCTCTTTCGAGGGAACTAGAATAGTAATTTTGCGTGTGTAATTGTTTCATACAAACAAGCATGTTATTCTAAACCTTCATAATCACAAGCAGATATGTTTCATCTCAGTCTCTAGAAATGTAGGTAAAACTTATTAAAAAATTATCTGCAGGAATTTCTCTGCTATTCCCCAAGCAAACAGTGGCAAGTGTTTCATCACTGTCGGCCTGAAGACGGATGAGCTGTCAGTGGCTTCCCCTGACCAGGATCCAGCTCCTGGGCTGAGAAGTGCCTAAATAAGGCCAGAGCAGCTCTTTCCAGGCCTGCGCTTTTACTGGGAGTAATTCTCAGATGCCAGGTCGCTGCCAACGTCCTTGCAGCCAATGGCAGAGAGGCCAGTAAGTTCACATTAACTGCAGAGTGTAACTGCGCTGAACATCTGCTCATGAATGAGAGCGCTGCCCACTAACTCAGCGAGTTGCAGCCCACTGATGAAAAATTCAACGCTCTCCTTGCTGGCACGCTTGTTTTGCACTATTCTCCTGAGCCCTCAGAATTATATTAAGAGAATTTCAACGCGGCCTGGTGTATCTGAGAGAACAGCTGGCGCTGAAAAGAGATCTGCCGCTCGCAAAGAGCTCGGGGACTTCACACAAGATCTGCCTTCTCCTACACCATTTGTCCTTGAAGGGAACAAAATATCAGTGTTAAGCACCCAGGTAATAATAAGAAAGCAGAGGCTACATTTAGCCGATTACACCACCCATGTGTTGTACAGCGGACGAAGCATAACCGATGAAGATGTGAATTGATATGGAGAGGAGAGAAAAGACAGAGGGGCAGATGTGACAATAAGTAGCTCCCTCAGGAGACCTATTCACTACACCTCTCCTTTGTTTGGCTTGTTTAGCTCATTAGATTGTAAACTAGGAAGGACCTGCCCCCAACCCCACAATATGGAATCACTCTAATCAGAAACAGAGGCCGTCTGTTCGGGGGCGGGGGGGCTGCATCAAAGACTTTGGAAAGTATGAGTGCAGTCCCACAATCATGTCCTTGAATTGCTGCAATTATGTGCCTCATAAGTTTATGATATCACTAGAGAGCAAACATGGAGCCAAGGAAAGCCATTTACCAAAATAACATGGAATCTGAAAATCAGTAACTACATGTTTACAGTGACACGTTGAGTCTTTCCTGTGAAGATGATGAAATAGTTTAAAATGTTAAAATTAAGGAAGTGATGACTCCTACCAAACACCAAGAATAAAACATTACCACACTCTGCAATTTCACTTCTGCCTTTCTGTGAAATACAGTTAACAGATTTGTAAGTGATTTTCCAAAACTTTTATCTCGATGTTTGTTTCACGGCTTCTAACTTTGGTTTCTTCTTGACTTATATACAACGCACTGAATAATGTGAAAATCATGGCAAAAGCCCAAAGAAAAGAGGGGATGTGTGAATATAATATTGCCAATGAAAACTGAGAGGATGTCTGCAGAGAAGCTCATTTAGCCTGTGACAAATGATGGCACTTTGTCTTCCTGACAAGATCCCTCCTTCATCAAATGTCCAACTTCACATGGAAATAGGAAATCACACATTATCACACTGACAAACAATTACAACCATGTCATTAGCAGCAACCCTGGGTACGAAACCATTAGCCAAACACAATGTTGCACACCACGCTAGCCATCAGAAGAAACACAGGATATAGATGAAAAGACACAGATAAATCAATCATGACACAAACAACCTGATGCTTACAGTTTGCAAAGGAGCTAAGTGAGCTGCGATAAGAGCCCTGTGTTCCAACTACATAAATCACGTAATCATCTCGGGCAATCAAAAGTTTTTCATCTCTGAATAAAGATTTATGTCTGCATTGATGACACAGCAGTGCTCCCCTCATATTAAAAGTCAACACTTTGGAGGAGTTTCTCTCCAAGTGACTTAATCAGATACGGAGCATTAGTATCTTTTTTAATACATCTGCCAGTGTCAGGCCGCAAATGAAAACGCTATAGCCTCTGTAAATATGACTGCTTACTTCTCACACAAACATTGTTGACACCTAATGTAATTTCAGCGGGACATCCAGCTGAAAGCGCACCGGGGTAATATAATGCTCTTAATGAGAATTCCTTCCAGCTTGAGACCTCGGGAAGATAGCCATAATGCATGGCTTCTCTTTTTAATAAAATAATTGTTACGGTTATTAAAGATGAATCTCATCACAGTCGAGATGACAAAATAATTCATTACCAAAACCGAGGCTTTAAATAGCTGCAAATTATGAAGCCCTGCCCCCCACCCCTGGAAAATACACTCGCAGATAAATGGCTTCGTTATTTCATATAAATATTAGATGTATGCTGCCCTTGAGTGGAGAGAATTATCGCAACTATCCATTAGGAAGTTTGTAGACACACAGTGCACAATGTACATTAAATCAATAACAATACAGAGCAAACAATAAACAACAGATCTAAAAACTATCATTCATTTGATTATTATTACATTACAACCCCTATTATACCTATAACTGTTAGAGCTGAGGCTTAATCCTTATTTTCTGAACTAATGTATTTTATATTTTGTTTTCTCTGAGTGATTAAGATATAGATGATTGACTTATATCCTTTTTATCTGTTGCTACAGTTTACATAACTAATAAAGCAAAATTTGTGTTGTGCATAAAATCATTACACCATACGAACGTATCAATACTGCCACTATGCCCATTAAACACCTAATACAACATGTTTATTGTGCTATGTATATCATCTCAAGCTACTAATGTTAGACCATATTGAAGTTACACTTACTCAGCCATTCATTTTTGTTTTTTAATCATGTTGTGTGTTGTAATCAGACTTATTTAAGCTCTAAAGAGGCAAAAACAGTTCGACAAATTGATAACAAAAAGTTATCAAATCTAAAATGTTGCACATTACTAACCAGTTCTTCTCACAGCAGTAAATTGATTTTCTATATATATACATAATGTTGTATACATTTCAGTTTGGCTTTTTGTGGAACGTGCAGTGTTCCTCCTCACATCACCTCCAGGTGTTAAACAGGAAAACACCAGGGACACAGGTTTGCACAAACTTTCACCAATCTCCCACACCCCTTCCCGTTCACAGCTACCCTTCCAGCTTTATTTATGTATTCAAAAGATGTAATTTACAGTGATGGCATGGAAACTTCCCAGCATGCCTTTTAACCTGTCGTTTTTCACTCTCTCCGCAGCAGGATGTCCAGAGGAAATGCTTTATT